CTAGTGTGTTCCAGCTGCACTGGGTTCCCTCTGCCCCCAGGTCTGTGACCCTGTATTTCTTTCCCTCTCCCTTTCTCCCTGTGTGGCTCTCACTGTGTGACCTGGTTCCTAGTTGTAGCAAATTTCACGTGGGTAAAAAATGAAAGGTTTTTTATTTAATGATTGGGAACACTATTCTTGAACACGTTTTACTTTTGCCTGGGACACACAGCCAGGATTGGAGGATGTATTTGATCAGCCCCTTTCCTTATTGTGAGTATCTCTACTTCCACCTTTGAGGGTCACTTTGGGGATAGGGTCCCTGAAGCCTGTGAGGTCTTTCCCAATCTCTAGCTCAGAGAAGCAGTGCATGGTCTTGATGCAGGTGGTCCTACCCAGGAGTCATTTGGTCCTGAAACCACTGAAGGGTCCCTGAGCCGAGAGGAAACACACAGATGAAAAACAGCTCAAAGAGAAGCTCTTAACTGAAGTGTTCCATGTGGTAGCTGGGGCCACTAACTATGTGGTCCTGAACCTTTGGGCTTTAATCACACTTGGATGATTACTAGTTGTTTTATTTCTCTACCCTAGCCCATTTATATTTCCCCCAATTCTAGTATTTTCTTGTTTTATGGGACAGCCCGGGAGATCTCCAGGGATTGGGAGCTCCTATGCTTGTTTTGATGGTGGTGTATTTAGTGTGTGTAGCTTCATCTCTTGGCCATTTGGTGGCCCTTAAGGAAAGAGGGGCCTAGATGAAGGAATATGGGTGTGGTTACTGTAAATAATAATAAAGTATGAAAAATTCTCCTTAACTTCATGCAGGGCAAGGAACTTTCTAAACACTTTCTGTTTGTGAATTTTCAAAGTGTATGTGCCTGGAACTGTTTGTGAATTTTCAAAGTGTATGTGCCTGGAAATGGGAAGGTGAGGACTTTTCATTGATTTGGGTAAGCACCCATTTCCAGTTTTCCTGCTGGAGGGAAAGGCACTATTACCTCTTATTTTATACTTGAAGACACTGAGGCAGAGGGGTTGAGTAAGTTGTTTACCACCACACAGCCAGTAAGTAATGGAGCAGGATCCCAAACCAAGCAGTCTGGTTCTGAAGACAGCGTTCCTTGTATATGTGATGTCACCAAATTGGCCTCCTGCCTTGTGCTGGGCTCCTAGCCCAGGCTAAGACCCCTTTTCTGGGCTGAAGAGGTTGTTTCTCCACGCAGATTCCCACAGCCAATAACGAAATTGATGGTAAGACTGGAACAGCACCAGTTTTATTCAATGAGCAAAGAATGGAGGAGCGAGAGCTTAGTTCACAAATCAACTTCTCAACCTAGTTTGGGTCAAGGTAAAAGCAAGGAAATTGGATCAAGAGAGGGAGGACTATTCATGACTTATCTGAGAACAAGGGTGTGGTTTGGACCTGAAACTGAGGCAACACTCAGTTTTCGTCCTTGTGGGTTGTTGTCACGACCACTGTCTCCTGTCACAGCCCCGATGGATATGCCGTCCAGCATACTACTATGCTATAGCAAACGCGTAGATGAGGCGCAGGGTCCAGGGGAGGTTAGGTTTTTCACCATTTTGGGCCTGAAAGTGAAAGTTGGTCACACAGTCATGTGCAACTCTTTGCGATACCGTGGAATGTAGCCCACTAGGTCCTCTGTCCATGGAAATCCCCAGGCAAGAGTACTGGAGTGGGTTGCCATTTCCTTCTCCAATTTTGGGCCTAGCTAGTTCTAACCAGTTTTTATTTTTCTCTGTAACTCTGTAAAGGAAGTGAAAGTGGAAGAATTAGTCACTTAGTCATGTCCAACTCTTCATGACCCCACGGACTGTAGCCTGCCAGGCTCTTCTCTCCATGGGATTCTCCAGGCAAGAATACTGGAGTGGATAGTTAAAATAAATATGATTGTCACCTGGCTGAAGTCCCAATTCTCACACCGTGATAAAGACCAGATAAAACTAATGAGGCAGTTGGGGATACATGGACCAAAAAGCAGGAGGAGAATAATTGTAAGGGGTCCTAAGAATGGCAGAGCCCAGGAAGCTGAGATTGCCCTTTTGATACTGTCCCACCCAAATTTGTTCAGTCAGGGCCCTTCTTGTTCTGAGTATTTGATCAAGCGACTTTCTCTTTGAATTATTATTGGAGTACAGTTGATTTACAATGTTGTGTTAGTTTCTGCTCTGTAGCAAAGTGAATCTGTTACACATATACAAATATACACTCTTTTTTAGATTCTTTTCCTATGTAGGCCATTACAAAGTATAGAATAGAGTTCTCTGTGCTGTACAGTAGGTCCTTCTTAGTTATCTGTTGTATATATTATAGTGTGTGTATGTCAATCCCAGTGTCCCAATTTGTCCCTCCTCTCACCCCCTGGTAACCATAGATTTTTTTTTTTCTTCCTACATCTGTGACTCTATTTTTTAAAGAGTTCATTTATAGCCTTTACTTACATTCCACATATAAGTAATATCATATGATATTCGTCCTTCTCTGTCTGCAAGCAGCCTTCTCTAACAGTCAGGTTACACTGTCTTCTATTTGACCACTCATGTTAACGTGGAAACAACAGGAAATAGTTGCAAGGGCACGAATTCCTCCTTGATCAGCCAGCAGGTAAACAGGAGCTATGCAGTGGCCGAATGTCATGTGGACCAGAGGCCCAGTGCAGATTTCATCTTTCTAAAGTTAGACCTGGGTTCTTTACTTGCCCAAGCCAATGTTCAAGTGCCCCCCCCCCCTTTTTTTAAAAAATAGCTTTGGCTTTAGAAATAGTTTCTCGTGCTAGGCTCACCAAGGATGCCACAAGGGCGACAACTCCTTCCATTACCAGTCCAGTCCAGCTCCCTCCTGACTAGATGAATGGCTCTATTTAGATGGGAGGTGGGGTGAGTGTAATTAAAATCTGAATGTAACCTGGCTCAGGGTGTGCACCTTCTATAGCCCAGTATCCACTAGTAGAGTTTTCTTGGAGACAGTTGATGGCCCAACGTGGGTGGTCCTTGCCCCAGGGGCCTCGAGGACCCTCAGGGTGAGTCATGTTTAGACTAATGGTGGTGCCCTTCCATCCAGGATACTGCCTCCACAGACCAGACCCCTCCAGGTCTGGTATGATCCTGTTCCCAGAGCCCTTGGGCATGGTCAGTATCTAGAGTCGGTCATGTCTGAAGGTGGAGGGCTCATCGGAAATATTGGTTGGGTCCCAAGAAAATAGGGATTTGACTAACACATATGCCTTTGCTGGGGTGGGGTGGCAATGGGGGTAATCTTGATGTTCCTGGGCAGAAGCCTGGGCATGCAGGGATTGAACTGTAGTTTGGTGATGTTCTCAGCTGTTAGTGGAGTTTCCTGAAAGTAGAGGGGGCTATATTTATTCCCTTATTGAGGCTGAAGGTGGCAGACCCCACAGTCAGTAAAATTTCAGCCCTTATGAAAGTCTTGTGTTACATTTGAAAAAAAAATAATCGGCCAGGAAGTGATAATGAAACGTGAAACCTGAGTTCTGTTCACGAAGCCTAAGAATGAATTCCGGGGAACTCGCAAACACAGAGGCAAAGTTTGTTTTAGAAGATAGAGACACAAAGTCCTCAGCATAGACTCTGAGAGGGGGCGAGGGGCCCCCAAAAGACAAGGATTATAGCACTTTTATATCTTTTCTAGTATTGATCTGTACATTTTTGGTTGATTTATGACTTTAATATACATCATTTTTGACCAATTAATATAAATATCACAGTGTCCAGTTTGTCACTTTTATGACTTTCTTGGATCCCCCAGTTTCTCAGGTTCTCTAGACATTGCAACGCCATCCCTCGACCCTTTCTTAAGACCCCAGACCATTATTTGGGACCAAATGTATGTTTTAAGTGCTAATGGTCTTCTTGGAGGTTTCTCTTGATAAACTGGACAACAGTTAATAATTGTCTTGTCCTGGGTCTGAATGTTTTATGACCTTCCAGACCAGGAAGGGATTCCTCTGAATGCCTGGAAATTGGAACAGAGAGTGAGATGCTTACTTGAGAAAAGAACAATTGAAATTAAAAAAGGAATTAAAAATTGAAATTAAAAAAAGTCTTACACTGTCTAGCAATTTCTGTTTCAATTATAGGGAGGACTATAAGAAAAATCAACATATTCATTTTAGTTGGAAAGATGTTACTTATCTTTAGGACATCTTCAGACGGTCGGGGTCAGAAAGAGCCTCATGTGAGGGGCATCTGACAGGGCTGTAAGGAGGTCAGGGTCCAGAACCTGTTGGACTCAGTGTGTTGTATTGTAACATGAGTCCTATAAAATTTCCTTTGTGTTATTAGCTGAACTAAGGAGGTCTTGAGACCGCAAGGTTGTGTCTTATGTGAATATGACTGAGGCATTCTTGAGTCTGGTGGGCTTCCCTGGTGGCTCAGTGGTAAAGAATCCATCTTCCAGTGCAGGAGACACGGGTTCAACCCCTGAGCCAAGAAGATCCCCTGGAGGAGGAAATGGCAACCCACTCCAGTATTCTTGACTGGGAAATCCCATGGACAGAGGAGCCTGGAGGGCCGCAGTCCGTGGGGTCACAAAACGAGTCAGACATGACTTAGCTACTAAAAAAAACAGCAACATCCTTGAGTCTGATACAGTTCAGAAAATTTGAGTGCTTGGTAATACAGGAACGTATCTACAGCCTTATCCACAATGGCCATTCAGTTCTATTGTGTGCTCCTGAATCAAGGTAACATTATTTTGATTTCTAAACGTATTTTTCTTAATAATTAAACTAGATGTACAATATATGTTCAGTAGACCACAAACAAGGTATTTTAGTTAAGTTATATTCTGTGTAAGCCAGAGTGACTTACCGACACCCTGATATATGGGTTTATGTGTTTGTAAGCATATGTCTAATTTTCTCCCTACATCTTTGTATAGTTAAAATGTAGACTTTTTTTAAACAATGTCCATGAATGTAGGATTCTAATTAAAGATATGTAATTTGAATATGTGTCACTCTCCTTTTAATTTTTAACAGGTGGCTAAACCCCTTGTTTAAAATTGGTCACAAAAGGAAATTAGAAGAAGATGACATGTACTCGGTGCTTCCGGAAGATCGTTCCCAGCACCTTGGGGAAGAGCTGCAAGGGTGAGCACAGGCAGGAGGGAGTACGGTTAGAAGAGTGAGAATTTCTCCATGGGGCTAAAGGCTTGTGGGGAGGGGCCTTTGCCTTCCTCTGGGGTCTTCTGAGTCCCCTTCCCTGACACTGAACCCTCACCCCTTCACGCTGAACCTGGGCTTAGCCCACTTTGGAGGCTGGGGGAGCCTGTGTTCCCCGTGTGAGTGGACGTGGAGGGAGCCCACAGCCATGGCCCTGGAGGCCGAGCTCTGTCCCCAGAGGTGGGATCCCTGGAGGACAGTGTCTGCCCTTCTGAGCTGCTCATGACCTGTGAGTTCAGCAATGCTTAACAGAAATTTGTTTCTAGAATCTGGAACTTTTCCCTGAAGACCTGGTCTGGTGCTTTTCCTGGTGCTCCAGAGTCTGAGTCTGCTCCGCTCATCTTTCAGGAGCCCTGTGAGCAGTTAGCCAGCGTCTATGGGGCCCCACAGAGTGCCCTGTAGTGAAGGCTCATCTTCTGCTCTGTCCCCTCCCCTGTTTTCTATGGCAGGGCTGGTCTTCACTGTGCTTTGTTTCTCTCTGCAGGTACTGGGATCAGGAAGTGTTGAGAGCCCAAAAAGATGCGCGGGAGCCTTCTTTAATGAAAGCAGTCATGAAGTGTTACGGGAAATCCTACTTAGTTCTGGGAATGTTAACATTTCTTGAGGTAAAAGCTTTTCCACACAGTGCATTGATTTTGAGTATATGTGGGTCAGTCCTGAGATGGATGGACTGAGGCTGGGAGAGGACAGTGGTTTAAGGTCTAAGGGTAAATCTCATCTAGGAATCATGATGTAGATCAGCAGTTGTATTTATCTTTAGAATAGACAGATTCTTAAAGGACTTGACCTCTGGAGATTACTATTTTTCTTTTAACTGATTAAAACATAGTGTAATGGAAGGACAGCAGCACTGGAAAGATATTTTATACCATGTTAGGATGTTCTTGGTGTTCAATGTAAATATTGAGGGATCCTTGACCAAAAGAAGATCTTATAACCTCAGGGAATATGTGTCCTGTGGTTTGGAGGAAGTAAACTTCAGAGAACAGTGGTCAGGAGATGGCAACAAATGTAATAGATTCCAAAACAAAGGCCAGAAGCAGTTTTAATAAAGCATTCGGACAGTAATTTGAAATAGAGGATTTATGTGATAACAACAGACCTATGTTCAACAACATGGAACTGAACATTATTTTTCATACAAAGTTAAAAGCACATTGTATTTCCTTCCTGACCACTTGCCCAGTTCCCATCTCTTCGAGAGAGACAAACTTCATCTAAATTATTTCATCTGATTGATGACTGTCATTTACAACTTTATTGCTACTTCTGTCTTGGGTATTCCTTTGGAAAAGGTGTATGGATTCATTATATATTCTAATGTATTGTCTGTAGATTGTAAGATAAAGTCAAACATGTACCGAGGATACTTTTTAAGTTGACCTGTCTTTATACTTAGAAATGTCTGTTAATAGTAGGCTTCCTGGAGGAGAGTTCTGACAAAATGTGGTCCACTGGAGAAAGGAATGACAAACCACTTCAGTATTCCAGCCTTGAGAACCCCATGAACAGTATGAAAAGCCAAAAAGATCGGACACTGAAAGATCAACTCCTCAGGTCAGTAGGTGCCCAATATGCTACTGGAGATCAGTGGAGAAATAACTTCAGAAAGAATGAAGAGACGGATCCAAAGCAAAAACAGCACCCAGTTGTGGATGTGACTGGTGATGGAAGTAAAGTACAATGCTATAAAGAGCAGTATTGCATAGGAACCTGGAATGTTAGGTCCATGAATCAAGGCAAATTGGAAATGGTCAAACAGGAGATGGCAAGAGTGAACATTGACATTTTAGGAATCAGCAAACTAAAATGGACTGGAATGGGTGAATTCGAATCAGATGACCATTATATATACTATTGTGGGCAAGAATCCCTTAAAAGAAATGGAGTAAACATCATAGTCAAAAAAAGAGTCTGAAATGCAGTAGTTGGGTGCAATCTCAAAAACAAACAGAATGATCTCTGTTCGTTTCCAAGGCAAACCATTGAATATCATAGTAATCCAAGCCTATGCCTCAACCAGTAATGGTGAAGAAGCTGAAGTTGAATGGTTCTATGAAGATCTGCAAGACCTTCTAGAACTAACACTCAAAAAAGATGTCCTTTTCATTATAGGGAACTGGAATGCAAAAGTAGGAAGTCAAGAGATACCTGGGGTAACAGGAAGATTTGGCCTTGGAGTACAGAATGAAGCAGGGCAAAGGTTAATAGAGTTTTGCCAAGAGAACGCACTGGTCATAGCAAACACTCTCTTCCAACAACATAAGAGAAGACTCTACGCATAGACATCACCAGATGGTCCATATGAAATCAGATTGATTATATTCTCTGCAGCCAAAGATGGAGAAGCTGTATACAGTCAGCAAAAGAAGACTGAGAGCTGACTGTGGCTCAGATCATGAAGTCCTTATTGCCAAATTCAGACTTAAATTGAAGAAAGTAGGGAAAACCGCTAAGCCATTCAGGTGTGACTTAAATAAAATCCTTTATGATTATACAGTAGACATGAGAAATAGATTCAAGGGATTAGATCTGATAGACAGAGTGCCTGAGGAACTATGGACGGAGGTTTGTGACATTGTACAAGAGGCAGGGACCAAGACCATCCCCAAGAAAAATAAATGTAAGAAGGCAAAATGGTTGTCTGAGAAGGCTTTACAAATAGCTGTGAAGAGAAGAGAAGAGAAGCTAAAGGCAAAGGAGAAAAGGAAAGATTTACCCATTTGAACACAGAGTTCCAAAGAATAGCAAGGAAAGATAAGAAAGCTTTCATCAATGATCAGTGCAAGGAAAGAGATGGAAACAATAGAATGGGAAAGACTAGAGATCTCTTCAAGAAAATCAGAGATACCAATGGAACATTTTATATGAAGATGGGCACAATAAAGGACAGAAAGGGTATGGATCTAACAGAAGCAGAAGATGTTAAGAAGAGGTGGCAAGAATACATAGAAGAACTATACAAAACAGATTTTCATGACCCAGATAATCACAGTGGTGTGATCACTCACCTAGAGCCAGACATCCTGGAAGGTGAAGTCAAGTGGGCCTTAGGAAGCGTCACTAAGAACAAAGCTAGTGGAGGTGGTGGAATTCCAGTTGAGCTATTTCAAATCCCAAAAGATGATGCTATGAAAGTGCTGCATTCAATATGCAAGCAAATTTGGAAAACTCAGAAGTGGCCACAGGACTGGAAAAGGTCAATTTTCATTCCAATCCCAAAGAAAGGCAAGGCTAAAGAATGCTCAAACTGCTGCACAATTTCACTCATCTCACATGCTAGTAAAGTAATGCTCAAAATTCTCCAAGCCATGCTTCAACAGTACATGAACCAAAATCACTGCAGATGGTGACTGCAGCCATGAAATTAAAAGATGCTTGCTCCTTGGAAGAAAAGTTATGACCAACCTAGCATATCAGAAAGCAGAGACATTACTTCGCCAACAAAGATCCGTCTAGTCAAAGCTATGGTTTTTCCAGTAGTCATGTATGGATCTGAGAGTTGGACTATCAAGAAAGCTGAGTGCCAAAGAATTGATGCTTTTGAACTGTGGTGTTGAAGACGACTCCTGAGAGTCCCTTGGATTGCAAGGAGATGCAACCAGTCCACCCTAAAGGAAATCAGTCCTGAATATTCATTGGAACTGATGTTAAACCCGAAACTCCAATACTTTGTGCATCTGATTTGAAGAACTGAGTCATTGGAAAAGATCCTGATGCTGGGAAAGATTGAAGGTGGGAGGAGATGGGGATGACAGCGGACGAGATGGCTGGATGGCATTACTGACTCAATGGACATTAGTTTGAGTAAACTCCAGAAGTTGGTGATGGAAAGGGAGGCCTAGAATGCTAGAGTCCATGGGGTCACAAAGAGTCAGACACGATTGCGTGACTGAATTGAACTGAACTTCCTGGTGCTCAGAAGAATCTGCCTACACTGCAGGAGACCCTTGTTCAATCCCTGCATCAGGAAGATACCCTGGAGAAGAAAATGGCAACCCACTCCAGTATTCTTTCCTGAAGAATTCCATGAACAGAGGAGCCTGGCAGTGTCCAGTCCATGGGGTTGCAAAGAGTCAGACATGACTGAACGACTCTTACTCATTCAAATTTGGCCTGGAGCCCAGAATAACATAAGACATTTGACAGTTGCTCAGCAAGTAATTGTTGACTTTCCCAGGTTACATATGATAAGTGCTTTCCTAGGAAATGATCATGCCTTTCCTGTGGAACAGAACCTGGGGTCCTGTGTCTGGGTTGGAGCTGCCAGAGCTCCCAAGATCACTCCCTTCCCTGGGCTGTCCCCTCCCCATGGGCCAGGTCAGCCAGGCCAGAGCCCCCCATGGGGAGGAGCTGCAGCTTCACCATGAATTGTGGAGAACTTATGCACCCTCCGTGCAGGTTTCCATCCTGGGTGAGTTCTCATGAATTCTGCTTGCTGGCAACCCTGGGGCCTTGGTGTGTACTTGTGACTAATGCCAGGTGCCTGGTTGGGTGAGTAGCCTTCAGGTTTAATGTTGGGTCATATCTGTTGTCCCTGCTTCTCTAATTTCTCTTTGGTACCAGATGATAAAGAAGCTTGAAGGCAAGTGGGTCTCAAAGCATAGCCCATGTGGTTTTTCTTGCTGTCCTGGTCTGTTGGCTCCTTAGGTGCGGTCGCTAAGCCTTGGATGGATCCCATTCTGAGTCCTGGGTCTTGGCTGTGGCAGTTCATGGGAGAAGCAGACATAGAGGGAGAAGCTGCAGAATCTGTGATTCTTCCTGAGAGGCAATTGCCCCACTGTGGTGCTGGGAGTGTTGATTTCAAAGTTTTCCAGCCCCAGTAATACTTCCTGCTGGGGGTCCAGGAAGGCCAGGCCTGGGGCTGCATAAGGTGCAACTGGTAGAGTCCTGGCCCCTCTTTTAGGAGCTTGGTTGTTGGGTGGTCATGGCAGAGAAGAGGGAGTAGAGGACCTTGAATGTAGGGGCTCATCTGTGTGGTAGCACTGCTAGTACTAGTAGCAGTAGCAGTACTAGTTACTCAAATTGATTTTATGAAGCAAATTTCCATGTTGTGATCTATCTGTTCTGCTTGTTGGTCTTTATATTTTAGATGGTGGAAGATCTAAACTCAGCCCAGGATTTTCTAAAACACAAATATGTTTCCTCTGTGACCTCCAGCCCTCTTTCAATTCCCCAGCTGCACAGAATGCCCTGTGGATCATCCATGATCCCAAGCAGTGTGCTTTTTCCTCCCACAGCACAAGCAGGGCCTCCCAGGTACTCCTGGCGGCACCAGTGGGAAAAAGCAGGGTGATGCCAGTCCAGGGTGAGGCTCTTAGGATTCTGAAATATAAAAACTTCTGTCCTGTGAGAATTGAGGAGTATCTCTACCACTCGGAGAAATAGGTACCAGGATGTGGAGTCCTTGCAGGTCAATGCTAATTAGAACAGAACAGGCAGAGAGTTCCCAGCACCCTGGCCCCTGTGTGCACCTCCACGGGGACCCTGGGTGGGGAGGACAGGTTTCCGCCTGTCCAGGGCCCTCAGGGTGGAGAGGAGGAGCCTGAAGTTTGTGCCTGGGCCAGAGACACAGAGACCACCTCTCCAAGTCATCAGGGCTTCT